AGCCAGGGTGTCCCGGATCATGGTGGGGGTCCCACTGGGGTGCCTGGCCAGCCTGGGTGAGGGGCTGAAGGCTGTTTTCAGGCTAGCCACACCCCTTTCAGGGTGGGGGTCCCTACTGGGGTGCCTGACCAGCCTGGGTGAGGGGCTGATAGCTGTTTGCAGACTGGCCAACCCCCGCAGCGGGGACCTTCACCCCATGGGGGTGTGGCCAGCCTGAGTGAGGGGCTGAGAACTGTTTTCAGACTGCCCACAGCCCCTTCAGGGTGTGGTGGAGTCCCACTGGGGTGCCTGGCCAGCCTGGGTGAGGGGCTGATAGCTGTTTCAGCCTGGCCACACACCCTGGCAACCCAAGCTCCCAGCTTCTCCTTTTGGGCTGGAAGCAAGTATCTGGGATTTATTTATCTTCTATAATTGAAACTTTGTAGCCTTGAGCAGAGTCCAGGTCTGGCCTGGCAGGTAGGAAGCTTGGCTTTCTCCATCGCTGGGGGCAACCCAAGCCTCCTGCTCGCTCCAGCTCTGTGGCTCCCATTGCAGAGTTGGGTTAATTTGCATACTCACTCCTGATTGGCTGGTGGGCATAGCTTGTGGGTGTAGCGAGTGGCAGAGTGATGGTTAATTTTCATGTTTCTCTTTTATTAGTATAGATGTGTTAGATGAATGTATAGTCCCTTATCCCCACCCAAGAAAAATTGCTAAATTTCCAGGGCAGGTTCAGGATCCTATAAGTACACACTGGATCCGAAAGCCTAGGAAAACTTTTGGTATATTCAGCCTCGAGCTGCCCTGCATGTTTTGACACGGACACCCTATTTGAGAGACTACTTCCAGGCACCCATCTGCTTCTTCTTGCTAAGAGGGCAGGAATGACCTGACAATCGCTCAGATGCAATAGTAAAACTCTGCTGCTTTGTCCCACCGTGTCTGAAACAAATCCTAAAGAAGCCAGGCACAAACACAGAGCTTGGAAAGTGATGCGGGCTTTCCTTTATTGAATACTTACTGTGTTCAGGTATTATTCATGTATTTTAACTCAGTCCACTTGGGGTCAAGAAGGTCCAGTTAAATGGAGGGAGGGGGGGGGACTGCCTTCTTAGGTAGCAAGAATCATGATCTGAACATGGCATCAGTGGCTTTATAAGACTGTCTTGTTTTAGAGGGCTGTGTCAAGTTCTCAATGCCACACGTTAAGAAAGACTCCACCTGTACTGAGAAGACATCCCAGTAGAGGTGATCCTGTCTCCCAGGTGAGAGAGCAGACAGGCTGAATGACAAGCCACACTGACATCACACTGACACTGACATTCAAAGAGTATCTTTACCCGCTTCGTTTTATCCCATCACGCCTACTTCCACCTTCTCTAGCTCTGCAAAGGAAGAGTTCAAAGGAATTCAAGGCAAAATGCCCACCCCTAATTTATTTATGAAATATGGCCTGTCTCCATTGCATAGGAGGGAATTATTTTTCTCTTTGCCTGAGGGATACCATTAACATAGTGATAATTAATGAAAGGCAGTTGCTGGCATTTGGTAAATTATAAATGGTTTCAATCATCCAGAGAGCAGACAGCCCCTGTGGGTAGTTGTTCTTGGTGATGGTGGAAGTGCTCTGAGGAAACAGGACACAGAGCCAGACCGTGTGTGTGTGTGTGTGTGTGTGTGTGTGTGTGTGTGT